CAAATATTAATAACTAAGATGCTTTTTAAAATAGACTGAGTCCTGTTTAGGTTTTTGATAATTAGTGGGACTATCCAGAATGTTTAATATAATTATAGAAGCAAGACATATTCTAGGTAAAAAGAAAGAACCTGAAATGGTGCAGGAAAGGGTATATACAGCCACTTTTAATTTCTGTTTTTGGACTTTTTAATGTACTTTTTTACATACACAAGGTCATCTTAGACACACATCAGTGAAACTGGTTTTTAAATTATTTTCCTGTTGGCTGCGTAGTATTTTGTTTGACCAATCTGTTGATAGGCATTTTGGGTGTACAGATGATCCCCAACTTACCATGGTTCTGCTTTGGGTTGGATGATTTTTGTCCAACTGTAGGCTGATGTAAGTGTCCTGAGCACATTTAAGGTAGGGTGGGCTAAGCTATGATGTTTTAGGTATAATAAATGCATTTTCACCTTAAAATATTTTCAACTTAACGATGCGTTTGTTGGGACGTAGCCCCATAATAAGTCTCGGAGCATCTGTACACTGTTATTAGCAATATTGGAATGAGTGTTCCTAGAATTTTCTCCTTGGGTGTGTAGCTAATTATTTACTTAGAATAAATTCCCAGAAGTGACCTTTCTGGCTTAAAGGTCCTAGTGTCTTTTGCAATTTGATGTATAACCACCTAATCTAACCACATGGGGAATAGCATGTGTCACGCAGTGGCACAAAGGCAGCCCGTCCCCCACAGCCCCATTCTCGCAGCACGAGGAGCAGCTCAGGGTGTGTCAGGAGCATGAGCGATGTGTCCACAGGAGCTGATACTACAGTATCCTGAGGGCAACTGCCCCTGGTGCTGCCAAGAACTGCCAACTGATGTCTGCGTCTTCCCACAGATCTATGAACTGCGGGTGATGGAAACCAAACCCGACAAGGCTGTGTCCATCATTGAGTGTGACATGAACGTGAGTGGCAGTGTCCTGTCACAGTGAGCTCTGGCTCCGGGAGGATGGGCAGTTGGTGGCTGCTGCAGGCCAGGGCCTCAGGAGACTGTTTGGGTGACGAGGAAGGGGATGCAGTCAGAATGTCACAAAGAGGTCCTGGACCTGGTGATCTATCTCAGGGCAGTTTGCTGCCAGTACTGAGGGGGCTAAATACACAGTCACCTCTGACCTGCCAAGGAGTGAACAGTGTCATGAGCTGAGGAAGCCTACTCGGCCTCCTGAATAGGAAGGAACTATTGATACACGATGATCCTGGTTGGATCACAAAAGAATGGTGCTGAGCAAAAAGGACTAGTCCCAAAAAGTTACATCGTTATATATTAATAACATCTCTAAAGTGATAAAACTTTAGAGATGAGAAACAGATTAATGGTTGCTAGGGCTTACGGCTGGTTAACAGGTGTGATTATGAAAGGGCAACATGGGACCCCTGTGGTGTTGGAACTGCTCAGCATCTCAGCTGTGGTGGGTATGCAGTCCTATATGGTGATAAAGTTGTGTAGAACTAAACAAACAAGTATGTGTAAAACCAGGGATCTCTGAGTAAGAGCAGTGGGCTGTGCCAATGTTGACAATCCTGGCAGTGATGCTCTACTGCAGCTTTGTAAGATGTGACCATTGCGTAACACTGGGCAAGGTACACAAGGCGTCATCTGGGCTTGTTTTTTACTACTACATGTGGATCTGCAGTTGTCTCACTTAAAAACATAGAAAGCCAAGTGTGGCCATGTCTGAAAAGTGTACGTTTCCTCTTGGAAACACAGGTGGACTTTGACGCTCCCCTGGGCTACAAAGAACCCGAAAGACAAGTCCAGCATGAGGAGTCGACAGTAAGTGGTGCCTCCAGCATCCTTGGCCACATTTGCCCATTTTTGTAACTGCTGCCTCGTGAATTCCTAGCAGCAGCTTATGTGTGGCTTTTGCTGGTGCCAACATGATCACGTCTTCTGCTTCCCTTCTAGCCCCGCTCCAGGGAATATCCCAGCTGTAGGGAGTGGGGGCAGCAATGGAATAAAGGAAATAAGAGGCTCGAGGGGGAGGCTGGGTACCCCACTGAAAAGCTCACCTCTTGCCTTTCTGTCTCTGTCAGGAAGGTGAAGCTGACCACAGCAGCTACGCTGGAGAGCTGGGCTTCCGCGTGAGTACTAGGCCACTCAGCTAACTTTCTGTGCTCTGGCCGCACTCTCTGCTCCTTGGAACCAGGGTATTCACTTCAAGATGTTCTCGGTGACATTCTATGGGCAGCAGAGAGCTTCTGGGCACCTGTGTACAGGCAAATCTGGCACTTACTCAGTTCCCAAATTCTGGCATCCACTTTCCCCAACTTTTTTTTTTTTTAATTTCTAACCTACCAAGGAGTTTAAATAGTACAACAAACATACATATACCTTTCTTTTGGGTTCACCAAATGTTACTACATTTGTTCTTTTTTTTTTTTTTAATAATTTTTATTTTACTTTTTTAAAATTGTTTTTGAAAGATTGAAAATTTGAGTATGTAGTATGCTCTGTCTTTCTTAAAATATGTTCCCTTTTTTATATGCCTGTACCGTTTGTAAGTTGTGAACATGACCCTTAGCACAGCTGCTGGTCAGGGTCCCTGGGCAACTGGTGGAAGTGGCTCATATGTGGGCACTGGGGTGCCAGGAGGCAGCAGAGAGAGTGGGACAGAGCATACGGGAATCTGCGCTGTCACCAGGGGCCATAGCCCCCTACCTACAGGGGCTCAAGCTGGGCAGCCTTTGGGTCAGGTGGCTCTCTTCAGCTCATGGTAGTCCCCTGAGGGGCTGGGAGGGGAGCTCAGCGCACTCCAGCATCAGGGGAGGGAAGGCTTCAGTCCTGAGGGGTATGGGCAGCACCCCGTGATTGCTGAGCAAAGGGCTGAGGTGCTTGCTCTTGGGGCTCATATGCTATTCTCCTGTTTGCCTGTCTAGGCCTTTTCAGGCTCCGGAAATAGACTGGATGGAAAGAAGAAAGGGGTCGAGCCCAGCCCCTCCCCAATCAAGCCTGGAGACATTAAAAGGTGGGTCTGTCCTGGCCCTGCTCCTGCTGGATATGTTGTCATCATCTGGGGAGTGTCTGTACCAGCCCCCTAGAGCAGGGCAGCCTCACTCCAACTCTGTGGATAAAGCTTGGCTCTGTTGGTTATGAGGGGATGAAAACCCCCACCTTCACCATCCCTGCCCAGGGCCAGCGAGGCCCAGCCTCCTGCCCCAAGTGGCTTTCCTAAAATGTGCACCCAATTCTCTCTCTCTTCTACTCAAAATCTCTCTAGTTCCTATTTGGTAATCTGCCTACATCCTGTTTTGTGACTTTGCATGATTAATCAGGTCACATTATCTCAACTTTCCTAAAACAAGGAGGCAGGAGCTGCCTTAGATGTGCTTCTGTCCCTGAGTCTGGGGACTCACAGCAGATCCCTCTGGTGGCATCACAGCGGGGGCAGGGACCGGGTATGAGGGCGGGAGGGGACACTGGAGATTGGGTTTTACCCAGTGTCTTTCAGAGCAAAGTGAGAGTATAGCCTTTTCAGGAGAGTCTGTGGGGTTCAGGACAGAGACAGTGAGGGCCTCCCAAGCCTTCAGATGTCCCCTCGCCACAGGCAGGTCCAGAATCTGCAGCACCCTGCCCCACGCCAGGTTTATGCCGAACCAGGAACCAGCTGCCTCTGCCTCCCCCCTGGGAGGGTGCTGGGAGCACCAGGGGCCATGGGTGCAGCAACATCTTTTCTGCTTACCTTCTTCTTGATTGTCAAATTGAATTTTAGTCATTTTTTATTTCCTGAAACCAACACTTCTTGTCTTCTTTACAGAGGAATCCCCAATTATGAATTTAAACTTGGTAAGATCACTTTCATCAGAAATTCACGCCCACTGGTCAAAAAGGTTGAAGAGGTGAGTGTGTTTCATTAGTAATGAGAAGTTTTATTTGCTGGTGATGGCTGGGGGTCTTACCATTCTGAGTAGTAGGGGTATTCCTGTCATGTTTTCCCCTTTCCTGGGGTGGGGTGCCTCTGCTGTCTGCTCACCTGTTTCTTCTGCAGAGCTGGTGTGGGTGTGTGTAGGCTGAGATCTTCTAGCGTTGGGGGCAGGAGCCTTGTCCTGCTTGGAAGCCAACTCCAGGCTCTGACATCAGAGAATGATATGTCCTGGGTGGGCCTCATCTTTTAAAGAGACCTCGAGCTTCCAGTCTCTGGATGCTGAGCCAGATGGTTATAGGATAGGGGAGGGCAGGAACTGAATATCCTGCAGACATGGGGACCATGGCCATGTGGCCAGGCCCAGCAGTGACTGGAACACAGTCACTTGTGTGTGATGTGGATTTCTTGAACACCAGCACTTCATATCCATTGCTTTTCCTGGTTCCTTTTCTCAAGGGACTGGACCCTTGGGGATTCAGAAGTAGGGTAGAGGGCAAATGTGCCATGAGCCTTTTCAAGATGGGCTGCAGGACCTGCCACCAGCCCCTACTGACTACTGAACTCTTCCCCTCTAGCCCTTGGGGTGGTTGGGAACAGAGACCACTGTGCTTTCTATACACTCGAGTCCAACGCACAGCCACTTCTGGCCTCAGTGTCCCTCAAGTTGCCATGGCGTTGGGGACCTTCCTGGCTCAAGAGCAAATGTGGTCCCCAGTCAGACATCCCTCTCCAGCTCCTTTAGCCCCATCCAGGCTGCACCAGCCACAGGCAGGCTTTCTCTCTAAAAGCCAGTTCTTGACATGAATCCACAGAATAAGGCATTCATTTTAACCTCTAGGGAGTTTCTGAAAATAGTATTTTCTCCTCATACCTAGGATGAAGCTGGAGGCAGATTCGTGGCTTTCTCTGGAGAAGGACAGTCGTTGCGTAAAAAGGGAAGAAAACCCTAAGTCGGGACAGTTGGCTGATCGCAAATAAAAGATCCATTGCAGCACACTGACTTCTAGTTACTGGCTCTGAAAGGTTGAGGCTCCTGTCAGAGAATGCCTGTTACTTCAGGTTGATTTAGATTACCTAAGAATTACCAAGTTTGACTTGGAAGTGGAGCAGCAGGACTTTGTAGTTATGTGCTTGGTTTTAGGAAAGAGAAAGAGCTGCCTTTAAGGGCCTGTGGGTGGCCACCTCCTTGCCACTCATGCTTTCAGCTCGATGGGGGCTCCCACAGCCTCAGAGGGAGCAGAGTCCCCTAACTCCTAACAAAACCAGTGGAGGGCATTGAGTTGTTTAACTTGAGCCATTCTTTCTCTTTCTTCATTCATGCTTTCTTTTCTCAGGTCAATTGTGTAGGCATTGTCTTTTGCCTAGAAAAAAGTGGTTTAAATAGATATGTGCTCTATAAATAGTAGCTGTCCCACTACTCTGGCTGCAATTTAAGTATTTGAGGGCGTTTCCATTTTTATTTTACGTATTTTTTTCAACAGCACCGCTCCTCAGAAGAATCTAATCCGAATAGGTTTGCACTTTTATTTTTATTTCATATGGAAATAACTGACTCCTTAGTGAACTTGTTCTATAGTAAAACAACTCCATGGAGAAACACAAACGTGAAAGCTAGAATGAGTAAGTACTAAAGATACATTCCTTTTCAACTTCTTTCATACCCCCCCCTCGATTTTAATTTACTGAATCATCCAAGGTTCTGGTGGCCTGTCTTTGTTTTTGAGTAATATTAATTTGGTCTCAGATCTTCACTTTCTATAATGTGAGATCTTTTGACATGCTATCCCAAATTATTTTAAATTTGTTCATTGAGAATAATTCTAAGTCAAGAATTTCAAATAAAAACAGGCAATGACTAAAACCTGGATTGCCTCTAAATGTCTGATTAGGTGCTAACATGGACTGGTGGTTGGACCACTGACCAGGAATTGGAAGACCTGCATGCAGGTGTCCCACATTCCATCTTGCCGTTAGAAAAGTGCTCCTCTCTGGCATCTCCTAGAGAATGTAGGGAGAAACAAGGCCCAGCAGGGTCCCCCTGTGTACCGAGCACACCCAGCTTGTAGGCAGAGGGGTCCTGCTCTGGGCAGGGCTCCTCCCAACAGTCAGGAGAGGAGAGGATGCCTTCTGCAGGTTGGTGGCCTCAGGGTATGCCCACGTGTCCTCAGTGAGGAGCACTGACGAGCGTCATGATGTTCAGGGCTGGGCCTGTGGCACAAACCATCATTGCTGGCAATGGACGTGGTTTTGGAAGGTGTGAGCACTGTGGTGACCTACCTGACCCTGCACGTGAGAGGCCTCAGTCTCACCAGCAAAGGTACAAGCCTCCTTGCGTAGGCAGCCTCCATCTGCAGGATCACGTTGGCGAACACGCTGCCATTGAAGGCATAATGAAGTAGGTGTTACAGTTGGTGTTGGCCCTGGGGTTTTGTCTTCCCTAAGGAGTACCTGCTATGTGTGCAGTGATACTCCTCGTGGTCCTTTGCTGGAGGCACACTCCTCTGCTTGGGCCAGGATTGAGTCCACTGTTCAGCCTTCTGATGACACAGTGGAGTCCGCTGGAGCGATGATCCTGGTCATTCCTGTTGCACCCAGCCCTGCAGCCTTCCTCAGTGTCTTTTCCTAGCTTGGTCTTTGAGCCCGCCACAACAGCAGGACCCCTTGTACAACTGCAGCTTTCTGACCCAGTGTCATTCCTGGCAGCAGCTGCCTTGTTAGAGGCTCCCCAGCAATGGTGGGATTCAGAGAAGTTGGCAATCCACCACATGGATACTGCTGGGCATTTCCGCAGGCCCAGCAGCCTCCTCTGCGCCACCTTCATTGTCTGGTGCATCTCTCCTGTTCATAAGTGTTGTTTGTGTCCCATGCTCTCCGGATAGAGCCTGCGCTCCCCTAATCAGACACTCTCACACTGTGTGACATGGCCTCTGTGGCTGTGCTGGGACGGCCCTCTCAGCTCCATGCAAGCCGGGGCTCCCGGGGGTCATCCCGCGCCCGGGGCCGCCCCCACACACACCACACCAGCCCCGGTTCCTCTGAGTTCGCCTCCGCACTGAGCGGACACTCGGGCGAGGCCTGGCAGGTTCTGAAAGTGAACCATACCGTTGCGATTTGAGAAAATAACAGCTGCTGAAGAGAACTGGCCCGAGCCGGGCGGTTCAGGCGCATCTCGCTCACGTGGCCCCTGCCGGGCAGCCGGCATGTCCTCGGCTGGCCCCGCCCCGCCGCGCCCTCATTGGCGCTTCTCGAAGGGCCGGCGAGGGTCAAGTGCGTTAATTAACGTAAGTGAGTTAATTGGTTCTCCTACTCGTCAGTCACGCCACGCCGCCGTCTTCAGCCCTCATTGGCTGGAGGACCGAGGAGGCGGTTTGGGCGCCGAGTGGCCCGGACATGGCGGACGGCGGGGGCGGCTGGCGGGTAAGTACGACTGGCGCCGGGACCTGGAGACCCGGGAGTCTCGTCGGGCCAGGCGGCCGCATTAGTCGGGCCCTCCCGGGGGAGGGGCGGGGCGGGGGGGTGCGGCCGCCGGGCCCGCTCAGGCGCCACCTGTCGTCGCAGCCGCCGCGCCCCTGCGAGGCCTACCGAGCCGAGTGGGAGCTGTGCCGCAGCGCCCGGCACCTGCTGCACCACTACTACGTCCACGGCGAGCGGCCGGCCTGCGAGCAGTGGCGGCGCGACCTGGCCAGCTGCCGCGCCTGGGAGCAGCGCCGGAGCAACGAGGCCCAGGTGCGCCGGGCGGGTGGCGGGTGGCGGGGCAGGGTGGCGTGGGTGCGCCGCGTGCGCGGTCTGCGCCCGGCCGGGGTCCTTCCCCGCCTTGCGCTTCCTTCTTTTGAGGATTAGCACAAATTAGTACATATACAGTTTTTTCAGACGATGTTAAGGACAACGAAGGCGACAGGCGAAGAAACGGGTGTAGGGTGGTTTAGAGAGGGAGGAGGACTGACCTTCCAGCGTTGGGGTCGTCAGCTAGCCTGTGGAGGACGTGCTGTTGCTGAGTCCTAAATGCCCAGGACCCAGCCTTCGCAGCCTTCCTTCACTCAGCCCCAGGGGACACGACTGAAGAAAAGAAAATGCCCAGGTGCCTGGAGCCGAGGGAAACTGGGCTGTAGAGGGGTAGGGCATAAGGTTGGGAAGGCACCAGGGGCCTGGTGGGCCTGATACAGAGCTTAGAGTCTAGGCTGAAAGTGTGCCGGGAAGCAAAATTTTATTTGTATCTTTAGAAGAGGAGTCTGTTGGGGTGTGGAGAGTATATTTATAGGGGGGCAGGTTGTTCTACTTGTCCATTCATTCAGCAGATATTTATCCTGTTGGGTGCTTTTGGGGATACACAAGTGATGAGAACAGAGCCCCTGCCCTCCGGGCACCCACGCTGTAGTCTAGAATGCAGTGCTCACTGTGGAGCCACTGTAGGATGGATGGGAGGTGGGGAGAAGCCAGCCTGAAGGTGCAATGCTCATGGGGAAGGCCAGCCAGCAGGACTGGCCAACATTTCATTGTTAAATGAATGCAATGATTGTGAAACAGACAAACGGATGTGGAAACCAAACTGCTGTATAAAAGAAAATGATGACCAGTCCAGAATAAATGAAAGTCAAAAAAAATGAAAGAAAGCTTATAGCCTGTATGGCAAGAGATTGATCATCTTTATATATGTGTGTACACACACACGCGCGCGCACACGTATTAAAAGAGCTCTCATATCAAGAAAAATGGGAATGATTTCAAAATAGAAAATTAGGCAAAGGGCACAAAGAAGCAATAAAGTAGAAAGGAAAACCAAATGCTCAGGTATGTGAGTTAAAATGACAGAGTGGTTTTTGCTCAGCAGAAAGAAGTGTTGATAGGGGTTTGGAGAATCCAGGGTACCTGTATAGTGTTAGTGGGAGTGTCAGGTGTCCTGATTATCTAAATGTCAAATGCATACCTTTTAACCTCAAAGTTATACTTCTGGAATTTTATCCTAAGGAAGTAACCGAATTGCAGTGCACAGTTAGGAGTTCAAGATGTTCATTGTGTTTATGATAGTGCAAAAATTGAGAGCAACCTAAATTTCACCGATAAACATTTGACCAAATAACTTTTTTTACACAGTGGAGTTCTACATAACCGTTAAAAAGAATAGATAGTAATCTACCTGGGAATGGAAAGGTGCCTACAACATAATATTTAGTAAAAAACAAAGCAGGAGGTAGACTAGCAAGCACAAAAGTATTCTATCTTTAGGGAAATGTGATAGCTCTAAAATTTGGGCCTAAAAAGTTGTCGGGGATAGAGGTTTGGGAGTCTTTCATATTCTACTTTGCATTTCTGATAACTTCTTAAACAAGACCAAAACATTTTGAGATAATAGAGCTTGAACAAGGGTAGACAAGTAGACAGAATAAATTGTACGTGTAAAGAGGCCTGCATAGCACCTGACACCTGCTAAGGGCCCACAGTGAAAGTCACCCTGTCCTGATAACTGTGTCCTTTGTCTGTTTTGGTGGACAGTGACCAAGAGAAGATGGTGGGTTGAGAGGAACTTGTGCACAGCCCTGTGTCGGTGGCCTGTCTTCTGGACTCCTCCCACCCTTCCATGGCACCTGGGCACGTGTCTCTTACCTTGTCATCCTCCCTCCCAACCACGTTCCTCCTTGCAGCTCCCCAGCTGCTCTTTGAGTCTCCTGTCTCTCCTCTCCACTCAGAGCTCCCAGCCTCAGTCTCAGCAGGTGAACCTGCCCCACACTCACTAGGTCAACCAATGCCATCAAGCCCTGAGGCCCAGGAGATGTTTTAAAATTCCTCAAATTATGATGATCTAAATGGTAGTTTTTCACAGTAGCTTGTGAGAAAGAGCGATCTGGATCTCTGTGTGCTAATATGGAACAATTGCCAAGGTATATTAGGTGGAAGCAACTGAGCTGCAGAGTGGTGTGTACCGTACGCACCTTTTTGTCCATCATGTTTGGGAGGGTGATGAGTTGGGAGGTACAGGGGCTGTGTGAGGATGCCTGCAGCCCTTGGGCCCCACCATGAGGTGGAAAGTGACCAGAATCTCATTTGCACAGCAATCCCTCTGTGAGAGCGAGCGGGCACGAGTCCAGGCTGCACAGAAGTACACCCTGGTGTGGGCCCTCCGGCAGAGCCCCCCTGCAGACTGGCACCTCCCTCTGCCTCAGGAGAAGGATGAATGAAGAACGCCCCTGCCCTTGGCCTGTGAGGCTTCCTCAGGTCTATTTCAAGAGGGGCTGTCACACAGCGGGAAGGACTGTAACTGGCCCAGTCTAGTGGGTGTCTCTGCAAGCTCTCGCCTGGCTTGGAACATGGAGCAAGACATCGCCAACCCTATTTGGCCCACCCCTCACCTGCATGCAGGGCGCCCTGACACTGTGATGCTCTGAAAAACAATTGCAGCTACTGTAGAGCTTCCGGGAAGCCAAGCATTGTGGCAGGTACCTATGAGCAGCCAGGTCAGGCTAGGTGCAACAGCATTGGAAGTGGCAGTCCTGAGGTCTAGGATTCTCAGGTAGACTCTTGAGGGGTAGCCCTGACCTGTGTAGTCACCTGAGTGGGTCGGAATGAGATAGTAAACAGTTGTGCTGCTTTGGATGCCTTTCCACGTGCTGGGCTTGGTGACCACCGTGTACTGCCTGCCGGCCTGTGGCATGCACAGCATGGAGCTCACACTGCTCCAGCCTACTGGCTCCGTCTCACTGCAGATGCAGGCCGATGTGCCAGCAGGCAGGGCTCCCTCGTTACCTGCACCAGCACCCTTCACCTCTTAGGCTCTCAGGTAGGCCCTGGAGACTCCAGCTTCTGAGAAATGCACATAGCTGCAGAACACAAAACCTCACACAAAAAGGATTTGTGGACTCTTGGCTTAAGAAATCCACACCCAAAACACATGGAATTTAGGACTGCTTCTCTCAGAATTTCCTGATGGTTAATGCATCAAAGCCATTTCCCACGTTTCATTCCAAATAGAACTTGGTAGATTTCACACCTACCACTGTTGTGCTTGGACAGTATTAGAATTCTGTATGCTTATTCTCTTGTAGATGTTTTAAAAATATATGTATATAAACTACCAAGAAGACTAGTTCCTGAAAAGGTCTCTTCATTACTAATAAAATGCTTTCTTGTATCCTGTGGCTGCATGGCAAGGCCTATTTTGTGATGCTAAGGTCTAGGCCAGCTGAGGCCAGCGCCCTTCCTGCTCAAGCAGCAGGTCGAACATCTTTTAATTCATTCTTTGGGGCAAAAAAATTGATCACTTCAGACAGGTATACATTAAAGAATATTTTCTCCTGTGCTCCCCAAGAGCTCCTCTCTGTGTCTGTGTGGACCTTGTGAATGGTGAGGGATATGTGCTCACAGGATCCAGGAGCAAAAGGGAGTCTAAAAAGGAGCCAGGCTTCCTCCATCCCCAGGGAGAGCTTTGGTGTAGCTAAAGCACCACTATGAAGCACCTGTGCTGGATACTTGCCTTTGGCAGGGAAGTGGGAAAGGCCTCACCACCTGAGCCCAGGCCTCGATGGCGGAGGCTTGAATCCTGCCAGGCAGAGAAAGGGGCCCACAAAGGCTGAGAGAATCAACCCCACATGTTGATGGGGGGTAGGGGTGGGGGCGCCTGGAAACTGTGATCAGGGGTCTGGGTATAATTCTCAGGGTGATTACTTGTGTTCTACAGAGACCTCTGCTGCTGTGCAGAGACAGGGCTGGGGGTGGGCATGCCCAGTGTGGACAGATCATTTGGCTGCTGAAGTAGAACAGGCAAAATGTGACAGTGGCTTGGACCTAAGAGATAGCCATGGAGGTTGTGAAAAGTATTTGCATTCACCATTTATCTTAGGTAGAGCCAAATGACTTAGAATCCTTAGGCAACAGGTGTTTTTTTTTTTTTTTTTTGAGACAAGAGTCTCACTTTGTTGCTCAGGCTAGAGTGAGTGCCAGGGCATCAGCCTAGTTCACAGCAACCTCAAACTCCTGGGCTCAAGCAATCCTCCTGTCTCAGCCTCCCAAGTAGCTGGGACTACAGGCATGCGCCACCATGCCCGGCTAATTTTTTGTATGTATTTTTAGTTGGTCAATTAGTTTCTATTTTTAGTAGAGGCGGGGTCTCTCTCAGGCTGGTTTCAAACTCCTCACCTTGAGCGATCCACCCGCCTCGGCCTCCCAGAGTGCTAGGATCACAGGCGCGCGTGAGTCACTGCGCCCGGCCATTAGTCAACAGTTTTAACGTGGACTGGTAAGAGGTTTTTTGTTTTTGTTTTTTTAACTTTAAGTGAGCTGGATACAGTGCTCACGCCTAAAATCAATCCCAGCAACTAGGGGGGCTGAGGCAGGAGAATCCCTTGAGCCCAGGAGTTTGAGGCTGCAGTGAGCTGTGATCATGCCACTGCACTCAGCGTGGGTGACAGAGCAAGACCCTGTCACTAAAAACAAACAAAAAAAATGGAACCCCATAGAATAGTATAAAGAAATGAACGCTTGCATATATGGTCACTTTTTGACAAGGATGCCAAAACCATTTAATGAGGAAAGGACAATCTTTTCAATTAATGGTTGATGCTCAGAAAACTGAATATCCACATGTAAAACAAAGAAATTGGACCCTTGTCAAACATCAAACACAAAAATTAACTCAAAATGGATGAAAGATCTAAATATAAAACTATAAAACCTAAAACTATAAAACTCTCAGAAAATGGGAAAAGCTTTACAACATTGGATTTGGCAATGATTTC